GAAGCAGCTGTATGAGAAACGGGGGTCAGGTCGTCTGATCATCAGAACTGCTCTGGTTCCATCGTCCCACACTGCCTCTCCCCGCCATGCCAGGTATTCATCCACCCATCCTCATGACAAATGCTTATTTTAGGGTCCTATGGGCGTTATGCATAGTGCTAAGCCCTGGAGATAGAGAGATAAACTGGATGTCTACCCTTGAAAAGCTTGTATCAGAAGGACTGTGCCCAGAGAAGGCTTTGCATGAGACAGCTGAGCCTGGACTTCAGGGAGAAGCAGGGTTTTCCAAAGTGTGGGGAGATTTGGAATGCGTGGGAGCATTCTAGATGAAGGAAACAGCATGAGCAAAGTTATGGAGGCACGAGAGAGCCTCTGTGGTAAGGCAGTGAATAGCATGCTGTCCCACGTGGGGCGGGTGGGGGGAAGTAGTGGGAAAAGAGGCTGGACCACAGGCAAAGGTCAGATTGTGAAGGGCTTTGTATGCCTCCCCAACTGTCATTGTCCTGTAGGCAATCCATCTTTGACTCTGAACCTCTGAGATCTGGCCTGCAAAGCCACTCTATCCTCTGATACTCCTTCCAAGATTTCCTTCTTGAAGATTTCTACCTGACAGGAAGGGCATTCCTCTCATTGGTCCTCTGGGTCCAAGGGTTTTCTCCTCAGTGTGGCACTCTGAGACTTGATAGGCAAAGCTTCATTCTGGACTATCAAGAAATTCATAGAATTCCACCCTTTCTACCCTGCTACCATCCTCATCATCAACTACTCAGTGAACACGTGCTGAGAGTGTTGACTTCAGATGGCGGCCTGGCAGAGCACATGGCGAGATGGAGAGAGCAGAGTCTTGGGTTGGATTTTCAGCATTGCCGCTAGCCGTGTGGCCGTGGGCAAGTTTCTTCATCACTCTAAGACCACTTTTGCCAACAGTTATGAGGATTGAATGAGATACTGAACATGTCGAAAGCAAAGGGAACCTCCAGCAGATGTCAGTTGACTCCCCACCACAACATAAGTCCTAGATCACGCCCTTGAGAAGCATGCAATCTGGACAGAGAGAGAGGTCCCCTACTGAAACCAGAGACACTAAGTGTGGAGCCTAAAAAGAACTCCCATCTTAGGAGAGATGACTGAGCCAGGAGCCCTGATGCCAAACTCCGGTCTTCCCCAGGGGTCTTTGGCCTTTAAATTCCGACTACCCCATGCTGGCTCATTTGGCCCTACAACAAGGGGACAAAAGTCAAAACACACAGCTCTCATCTTTCAGAATCCCCCTTCACAAGAAAGCTGTCTAGTCTTACTATGCAAGAATCACAATAAAAGTAGATGTAATGTGGAGGAAGCAGCTCAGACTGCTGGCAGGTTTCAGAGGCCTTGACTGGACATGGAGACCCAAACAGTCAAAATGACCTAAAACTGTTCTTTCTCCAACAATCATTTGAATCTGCTTAAAAGAACCATTTCCCTGAAGTTAATGAGTAATGGAGAAGAATTGTAATGAAGAACAGACAGAAATTTTGTTTTAAACCCACACATACACATGTACAAGTGTGCGCCTCTGAAATTTGGAGAGAGGAAATTGGAAATCAGGATAGGTGGTGCCTAGACTGGGAAAGTGCCCAACCAAGCAGAAATAAGAGAGAACCATGCAAAATGCACTTGTTCTCTTACACGTACAGAATAGCCTCAAAAATTTATCATCTACTAAGCCACAAAGCAAGACTCAACAAATTCCAGAAGAATCTATTTTGAACACTGGGTGGAAGAGTTCCCATAGAGCACTTCTGCATTTGCTTCTGATGTGTATCCCTAAAAGTTTCAACAGACCCAGTTTTGTGTTATTTTTTTTCAGCTTCGGATTCCCATAACATGCAGGTGACAAGCACCGGGATGCCACTGTTGAGCACTTCACAGGATTTCTCCCAGAAAACTCCTGTCTCCTCCAAGTTAGAGCCCCTAGCAGAGGGAAGCCTCTTGACATCTCCCATGGGGTGGGATTTGTCTTATGCAAGACCCTCTCATTCTGCTCCAATTTAGCAGTGCTGATGGGAAATTATGTAATTTTCTATATTCACCTTCTTTCTCTAGAACATTCTGGGGATTTGGAGGGGGGCATGGGTCAGAGCCATACCAAGATGAGCCAGGATCTTCCGTTTCCTTCCTCAGAGCTGCCTACCACGGTATCGAACCTCACATTCTATTTCTTTGTGTGTTTGACGACTTTGCTGCTGCTAAATCTTTCTTGGCTTTTACAACTTTTGTTCCTTCAGCTGGTCCTTGAGAGAGGGGGATTTTGCAATCCATCCTTATCTCACCACCATTGCCTGACAGTCCCTGTATCAGCAAGAAATTATTAAGAAGTTTTCTATCCCCCAGCCTGTGCCAACCTTGCCGGAAATCAAGGATAATTAGACAAGATCCGTCCTCAGCAGCTTATTTTGATCTAGTTATTAAACTATAAAGATGTGATCAGAAGCTACAGTATTAGGGCTTAATAAATAGAAATGAAGAACAGTGTCCTAGGAAAAATCCTAAATTGCACCCACCCAGACAGCATCATCGTAACCAGCTGCACAGCCCCTCGTGGGTTTCAAAATGCGTTCATGTTCATGATCTTGTCTGAGCCTCGCCAAGCCCAGTGACCTACACAGAATAAGAAAAACCGAGTGACTTGCCTGAGGTCAGAGCCAAGGGTGTGAAGGAACTGCAGGTGGGGGGAGGGCCTGGGAGGACGTGGGATTATCACACAGAAAAATTCTCCCTGAGCTAAACCACAGAAACCAGGGCAGGAGAAAGCGGATTCACACAAACTCCAACCGAGGGAATTATTACTTCGTCAAATAAAATTTAACAAAATGGATTTCTTTTTTTGTGGTTAAAGAGTAAGTTCTGTTGCATTCAATATGCTTTTCCAATGCCTGCAAATCGAATTATACGCAACATTTTCAGGAGTAAAGCTGTTGCATGAATTCTGGCTACAGCTGTCTGTTTCAGAGCAAGAGAAAGTCTAGAATGTTTCAGCAGCAAAACAGGTCATAGACGGCCCAGAGGATCTCACACCAGCTTGAATATAACCTTTCTCTTTCTAGTACTGGATGCAAGTCTAGACTTGATTGCTAATTAGAGAAACCATGCAGAAGACCCAGAGAGAAGCCATCAGAAAAACCAGATGTATGATTTCCCAGATGGGTGATTTATGATCAGAGATTAAGCACGGAAGAGGAGACACAGCAGGACTTTGGGGTTTGGATCCCAGTTCATCCTCTTTGAAGTAGGAGCGACACACTCAGAATTTTAAGGAATATTTAAAATACAGGCTGCTTGGGACATAGCAGAGGCTCAATTTTTAAAAGCACGTATTATTTAGATAAAGGAGGGGGTTCGTTTGCGAGGGCTGGCGCAAGAATCACAGACTGAGGGGCTTAAACAACAGAAATTTATTTTCTCACAGCTCTGAGGCCAGAAGTCGTAGACCGAGGTACCACCAGGGCTAATCTCTGAGACCTCTCTCCTTGTCTTCCAGATGGCTAAATACAACACGAATTTCCTCCGGATGAGTGAGGCAGCATGAATGAGGATGCAAAAAGTGATATAGCATCTTCCTATTATAGGCTTGAGCTGTGTCCCACCAAATTTTACATGTTGAAGCCCTAACTCCTGATGTGACTACATTTGGGGACAGGACCTTTAACGAGGTAATCAAGGTTAAATGAGGTCAGAAGGATGTGGCCCTAATCCACCAGGACGAGTGTCCTTATAAGAAGAGAAAGAGATGCTAGGAATGCACACGAGTGAAAAAAGGCCATGTGAGGCCGCAGGAAGATAGCGGCTGTCTGCAAGCCAAGGGGAGAGGCCTCAGGAAAAACCAGCCCTGCCGACACGCTGATCTTGGGCTTCCAACCTCCAGAACTGTGAGGAGATAAATTTCTGTTGTTTACCTCCCCAGTCTGTGGCATTTTTTTATGGCAGCCTGAGCTGACTCACACACTTCTTTTCCGAGGTGATTTGTTAAAAACAAAATGTAGATTTTCACCTGTTTGGATATTTTAAGTCGGGTTCTCTAAGATGTATCAAAAAGTTAAAAACGAAAAAGTGAAAGTAGTCCTACATGTTGGTGTGTGGATGGGGTGGGGGCGGGGGCACGTGCTTTAAGCCAAAGGGTTACTTTTGTCCACATATATGGATTGAGACAACCAGCCATGTGCCAGGCACCGTGGCTATCACGTGTCGTCTGGTTTAACCCTGTCCTTTTCCTCATAATGCTACCAGTGTTGGGAGTTGACATCCCCATTTCCACAGATGGGGAAAAAAAGAGACTCAGAGACCTTCTGTGACTTGCCCCAGGTCGGGGAAGAGGTATGCGGCAGAGCTGGATTCCAAAGCAGGCCCATCAGACTGAGAATACTTCACACGCTCCCAGCACCACACTCCGGCCTTCGTGATATGAGGAGAATCACAAACCCTTAGCACCTACAACGTCCTGGGTCTGTTCCCAGAGATTTACATATTTACCTTAAATTTACATATTTAATTAACATTTAAAACTCACTTAATCTACACACAACCCTTTGAAGTGGGTGCTATTACTATTCCATTCTACAGATGAAAACATATGTGATGGAGAGGAGTCAAGCAACTCAACCCAGGTCCCACTCTACTATGTGAAGGAAGAGCGTGTGGCAGCACTGACATCTATACTCAGTTGGGGGACACCTGGGCCATGAGCCATGTGTGCTTTGGTGCAACAGAAGGAAATGAACCCAATAGCTCCCCAGACCCTTTCCCCTCCTTGGATCCTATTGCTCCGAATTCAACTGGGTCAACAAAAACAGACAAGACTAAATGTTAGATGGGTTTTATCCACATAGAGATTTTTCTCTTTAGCAAGAAGGAAGCTAAACCCTAATTCACTCTTCTTTTAACACAAAATTTGACCGCAATTCCCCAAAAATTTTCTTATTTTGCATTTTTTTACAGATCACCTTTATAGTTGAAAAACTCACCGATGGCTAAGAACATTCAGATGCAGAAAGCCCCCCTGTCTCTCTGGCGAGTCACGTCTCATCACAGTGTTAGCTTCTCCCTCCGCTGAGTGGTCACGGGACCCAAAGGAAGAGGCGCCTGGATCCAGTCTTCTATGACATCATCCTGATGGAATGTGGACTCAGGGTCTGCAAGGACTTTCTGCTTAAGCCTTGTTTTATTTAAGTTTATATTGTTCTTAAATCTCGTCCACAGTTGCTTGGAATCCAGGCTTCAGCTGGATTATGGAAGGGAGGCAGCAAATGTGCCCTCCTCAAAGCTGAACTCAGCGAATAGTTAGCCAAAGCCATCCTGCCCCCAGGCTCAGAGCGAGTCTTTCAGCTCCTTACAGTGTAAAGATTGCCAGCAGGCAGCAGCCTCTACATTTACGTAACCCCAGTTATATACAGTGAAAGCACGTGCCCGTTATGTAACAGATGTTCATGTGAACTGGGTAAAATAGGACAGGTAAATCAGATGTGGAAAGCCAGAACACAGAGGCTCCCAACAGCTTTAAACATAACATTCATAACAAGGGGGTAATTTGGGTTTTTTTTTTTTCCTGACCTCTCCAAGAATAACAGACAACTGAGTGTCCACAAAATGCCAGGCACCACGCCTCACAGGAGGAGCCAAGGCTTCACAGTGAGGTCGGACTGCTTGGTTATATGACATTCGGCAAGTTTCCCCACCGTGGTTTACCCACCCATCAAACAGAGAGAGTCACGCCTACCTGACAAAGTCAACGTGAGAATTAGATGGAAAATGTTGCCAAGTGTCTGACACGATGTGGGTGCTCAGCAAAAGATAGTTTCCTCGTCTGTGGCCCTTATCTGATTTTATTTACTCCTCCTGACAAGCCAGGGAATTTGGTATTATTATAATCCCCATGTAACAGGTGAAGAGGCTGGAAGCTGCTGCCAGCCTGACAAGCCTCCTGAGTGGCGAAGGACTATGATGCACAGCTCCCTACGGGCGTGGCTCAGTTTTGCAACGGCACAGGTTATCCCATTTGTGGTTCGTGCAGGCCTTTCGACTTCTCTGCTTTTCCTTCTGGCTGCCTGCCATTTGGCACTTTCCCTGCTAATTAGCACCTCGACCACAGTACAGCAGGGGAAATCCAAAAGGGTGAGGCTCGGTGAGTAGCAGAATTGTGTGGTTTAAGAGCTTTGGGGGAAAGATTTAAAAAAAAGAAAGCTTGGTAAAGGAAAAAAGAGGCGTCACATCTAAGCAAAGACATGAGTATTTTAAAGTACATTTGGAGTTCCATTTGTCTCATATCCTGGCCTTCCACTAATAAGTGATTGAGAATGGATGATTATTTTTAATGCTCCTCAGGGACATTAAAGTTCATTGGGATGCAGAGGCATTGAGAATGTTTCTCCAAATCATGTCAGAATTCCTACTCATCTTAGCCCTTCCCACCAGACCGCACTACTCCATATTGATGGTGTCTTTCATCAGCAGGGAGTTTCATGTGCCATAGTGATCACTCACTATGAGGTAGAGGGACTGGCATCCTGTGCCTAGCAAAGCCGAGGCCACCGATGACGAAATTAGGTCAGTCACTGGGAATTCTGGGTCAGATTGCCTACATCCCTATTCAGGCAAATTCACATTAGCCCAGACCAGGAATCCACTGGCGGGGAGGGGGGTGGGGGGGGCAACGTCTAATTTTGAAACTGGTTTGCAGTGGAGAAGACAGTGATCACTTGAGAGAGTCACTTTTCAAAATCCAATAAATCATCCACGTTCACTCCCAACTAGATGGTCTACACTCACCTTTTGTTTACAGTTAAGTCCGTATATATCATCTTGAGGAATACAGCTCACCAAATTAACGCGGGCTACCAAACTTGTAAACCCAATCTCGCAAAAGTAGGCAGAAGCAGTACTGTGCTAATGGTGTTCTAGAAAACAGTTTGGCAAAACGTACAAAGGTCCTTAAAATGCTCATAACCTTTGATTTAATAATTGCACTTCATAAAGTCCGTTCTTATGAAGCAACTTATAAATGCAAATAAATACGTTTCTTACAGAACTTACACAGATAACGTACAAAATTAGAAACAGGGAATGTTCCCAAAACAGGCATGGTTAAATTCATTTATTCAATAAATATTTATCGTGCAGCTACTCAGTACAAACATTATTCCAGGCAGTTCTCCCCCAGAAAGAGGAGAGAGGGGAGGGAGTGTGGGCACAGGCGTCCTAGGGCAGGTGAGGGTGGTGGGGGAGCCTGGGCAGCTGTCTTCTGGTTGCTGAAGTAATTTGTGATAAAGCTCATCAGTAAAATGTTCCATAGCCACTAAAAACCGTGTTCATAAAAAATTTCAGTGAGAGGACAAAAGGCTTAGAATATAATGCCACATGAAAAAATATCCTACATACGTGCGTGTGTTTGTGTGTCTGAAGATCTGAAGTGTTTGGGGATGAAGTGTCCTGGCGTCTGCAGCTTATTGCAAAATCCGTAAGAAATTAAGATAGATCGATGAGTAGATAGAGGGGTGGATAGGTATGTGCTAAAGCAAATAGAGCAAAATAATGATTATAGATTCTAGATAGTGGCTTTATGGGGGTTCTCCATACCATTCTTTCAACTTTCTGTATGTTTGATAATTTTCATAATGTAAAACGGAGGAAAAACACATTTTATGTGCACGTCCACGTGTCTATATGCCCAAATGTTCACAGTGGTCACCTTTCAGTGATGACAATGTGGGTGATCCTTTTAACCGTGTTTTATAGATTTAATATGTTACCCACACCCTGCAGCCTGGTCCCACCTCATTAGTGAGAATTTGGTCTCCCTGAAGCAGTCCCGCTTGCTTCTGGATGCTGCCTCGACTGTACTCGGGGACAAGTTCCTCTGTTTCTTCTCCGGCAGCCCTGTCGGGGGGCATCTGCACAAGCTGACTCTGTGACAGCCCACTGTTCCTGGGGGCAGCTGGCCGTTCCTACCTGGAACTGCTTCTGCCACCTCTGTCTACCTCGAGGGGAAGGCCATCACTCGGCTTGCCCAGTTCTGCTGCACACTACCTGAGGCAAAGCCTCTCCTCTGCTCTCCACTGAGCCTCTGCAACACTTGCACTCAAATCTCACCTCCGACACCCACCAGCTGTGGGACCCTGGACTAGTTGCTTACCCTCCCTGTGCCTTAGTCTCTGACCTGCAAAATTGGGAAAATATTAATACCTAACTTATAATGTTGCTGTGAGGACAAAATGAGTTGACATCTAGTAGTCAGAATAGTACCTGGAATGTACTAAGCCCCATATAAGAGTCTTATTATCACGGTCACTCTCATTACCACTCCTAGTGTTACCACCATATCTACTCCCACCACCAAACCCAGACTGCAACACGCAATAAGACACAGAGCACTCCGGGACAATGGAGGGAAATGGTGTGGACAGAATCATTTATAACCCCAGGTCCAGCCCACCCTGAGCTCCCTTCCCAGCCCAGAACCCAGGGGCCTGGCTTCTGGTCTGACCCAACAAGACAGTGGCACGTCACCCACCACTAAACCACACCACGCTTCTCTGTGCCCCAGAGACTGGGCCAGACTGACCACTGACCCCAGGGAGTTTGTTCTAGAAGAATTAACTTGTAAAACATGTGTAAGGACCATCTCCTGAGCCCTCCTTTCCTGCTCCAAGATTTATATCTTCCCAGGATAGTTGAGGCCTAGAACATTCGCTGGATAGCAAACCTCTTCCCTGCTCCCCGGAGTATGGTCCGATCTCAAAGCCCTCAAATGGAGGCTGACGTGGATGTTTTTCTCAAAGTCTCTGCTATTCAGTCTTATCATGGTCATCACACTAAAAATATTTTCCAAATTTGATGCAATTAATAGATGCCACTTTCGTAATAAAAAGCAGACAGTGATTGTGAACATTCTTGGTATTGCTGTTAAGATGCTGCAGATTTCTACGTAGTTCCGCGGAAATCAAACAGACTTGTGTTCCAAAGTCTGTGAGTGGTCGTTGGTTATCTTGAGGACGTTTGTGTAACTATTTGCCAGCCTGCACTAGAACATTCCAGCTCCTTCTAGGAAACAGTTGTCAGAAGTCGGAGATGTTGTTTCCTCCTAGATGTAAAAACAATAGCGATTTGCCCTTCTTAGCAGTTCCATCTTTTCTAGGCCTATCAGAGTCAATAATTTGAACCGAGGCAAAAATAAGAGACTACTTTTGTATTCAGAGTTTACATGCTCAAGATCATAACCTTTGCCAAAAAAAATTCAAAAAACAGAGAAGAACTGGTTGGTTTGTAGCACAGGAATGTCATTCAAACCCTTTAATTCAAAATTACTTATGCTTTTCCAAGTTCCACTTATTTTTCCAAATAAACAAAGATATCTTTTTCTACATTGTTTCCACCCAACTTTTGAAACCTGCCTGCTAAATTTCTCAAATAACATATTGCATGTGTTTCCTGGTGTTGGGAAATGCCCGGAAACCAGGCCAGGGAGTAAAAAGAGTTCAGGGAGCTGGCTCGCGTGAGAGAATAAGTAACGACCATTCTACCGTCCAGAAAATGTAAAACTCTCCGTAATTCTTCAGGTACCAACTCAATAGCCATCAAAACTGTCTTAGTCACTTATTTCTGGAGCACAGCTTACAGGTGTGAGCAAGGAATTGCACTTATCTTTGTGAATATACAAAGGAATGGACTGACTCAATCAGTGATTTATCTGTCAACAGGGAAGAGGTTTCAGAATAAAACAAAAAGCTTGGTCTGTGAAAGCTACAAGAGTTCCTGAGGATTATTTCATTAAAGCCCAGAGAGGTGATGATCTTGCTCTAGTTCACACAACAAGTTGGCTTGTGTGGCTGGAGCATGACTGACTTAGGATGTTGTGTCCATATATAAAGCTTCACACCCATCAGATTTACGTCTATCAGAGAAGCAAAACCAAATGAGGTGAGCCCCTGACTCCATCTCAAGCAGGCCACTGAACTGCATCTTGGATCTTATTAGGACAATCCCTAGATACCTTTCTCAACACACAGACCTCATACTCCATTTGGACCGTAGGTTTTATTTTTAACATAAAAGGGTAAGAGCCAGGGACCAAATGTCCATTCTATGAAACCACTTTTTTAGAGAAAACAACAACTGTCTGGGACCAAAGGAGACCTT